TCCTTAGGGGTCCATCAACCCCCCGAACTTTAAAGAAAAGTTGAAAATGTAGCGGTATACTAAAATCGATGCTGTTACGAGAGTCTTTGTCCGATTTTCGATTGCAAAACGGCGATCTTTTAGAAAAGTGGCTCTACTTGATGATGTACATAAAATGACGATGACGCTTTGCCTATTTTCCAGGGGCGAACAATCCCGTTTTTAGCCTCTAAATCCAACATGTTCTTGCGTTTTGAAGGTGTTTGAGTCGTCCGATCGGTTTTGTGGGTCACTATTCGACGCCCCTGATCAAAACCTTTCGAAAAATGTCTCAGGCGTAAAAATGGTTGGTTTGCCTACTGTACGGGAAAAAAAAAAACCACTAAATTTCGTTTTAAAAATTGCTTTTTCGCGATACGAAATATCCTGTTTGGCATTGGGTCGGATTTCTTGTGGTGCCATTTGTCGGGGCCTGGTAAAAAAACTTCCAATTACCGTCCTGGGTGTACAAACCCGGGGGGATTGCCGACCCTAAAAGCAAAAAATGTCGAATGTCGAAAAATTCGTCTGTAGGATACGCGACCCTCTGGATTCAGGCGCTCGAAACGGTAATCGAAAGTTTTTCACCGGTACGTCAAATGGCCCCACAAAAAATCCGCCCCAAATGCCAAAAGGATATTTCGTATCCAAAAAAAGAAATTTTTCAAGCGAATTTCAGGGGTTTTTTTGGGCCCTGTACAGTAGGCAAACGAACCGATTTTGACCCCTGAGACATTTTTCAAAAAGGTTTTGATCAGGCGCTTTCGAATGGTGACCCAAATAATTGGGATCGGACGACTCAAACACCTTAAAAAAAGCAAAAATGTTGGATTTAGAGGCTAAAAACGGGATTGTACGCCCCTGGAAAATAGGCAATGCGTCGGATCGCATTTATGTACATCACCCAATAGAGCGCACTTTTCTGAAAGATCGCCGTTTTGCAATCGAAAATCGGACAAAGACTCTCGTAACAGCATCGTTTTTTGTATACCGTTTACATTTTCAACTTTTCTTTAAAGTTCGGGCCTTTGATGGACCCCTAAGAATGGTCCAAATCTTATCATATTTGTATAAAAAATTTCTGTTTTTAACCCCTATTTTCAGAATTGGAGGGCGCTCCTCATTTTGAAACTTTTAAAAAAAGTGGACCACCCTCTCGCCCCTGGGTCTAGGATACTCTCAACCGGGTCCAAAATATCCCCCATCGCGTTTACGACTGGCAGGAACAGAAAAGTGTGTAATTTGCCCGGAGGGTCTTTTCAGAGGATGTGCCACAGCTTGGAAATTACCTGCCTGATCCCGATCCTGGGAGAACTTGGCTGGGTTTGCAGAGGGTGGCCCGCCAGTCACGACCAGCAGGGCAAGGGGCACCCAAAGCCCCAAAACTTGCAGGGCAGCATCCTGAACATGTGAAGCAACCACTCGTTTTCGTATGAGGCATTTACAAGCTTTTTTCGTAACAAAAGAACAACAAAAAAACCTCCATTTGACAAAATGCGAATTAATAAAGACACGCAACCTATACTACTTGAGAAAAAGTTAAATTTCAGAGGTCCCATTCAAAAGATCTTATCTTACCGTTGCAGTACGAAAGACTTTATTTTGTCGTTTCCGCATACAGAATCTGATCTTGAACGCAAGCGAATTTCGCATCCTAAAATAAAACGGGATCATGATGTTATCGACGCCAACTTGAAGAGAAAAGATGAAAGAAACCAGTGGTGCTTTGTAGAACTGCATAGAGATCCTCTATTGGTCACGTGACACTCACACAGCCTTCCTCGGCCCAACTTTAATTTTCGCTGGAAATTTAATAAAAGAGCATTGTTTGATGTTAAAAATTCGTTAAGAGAAATTCTACGAACAGTGGTAGAAGAGTTGTCGTCGGATTTAAAACATACACTGTTAAAAATTTTTGCTGAAAATTCAGACTTTTTTGACTGAAGTAAATATGCAGAACATCCTACTGAAAATTCAGACTAAATCCTGGTCTGAAATTTTCAGACTTACACAAGTCTTAACTTTTCAGGCAGGTCGTAGTCTGAAAAATTCAGACAAAATTGTCTTAATTACTAGATTTTTTTGTCTGAAAGTGGCGGCAGGAAATTTTCCCGTAACTCGTTGAAATGATAATGTTGGCATCCGAACCTCAAAGGAAAGACGTACTCCAAGGGACCGTCTAAGTAAAAAAATTGAGTGCAGGGGAATGTCCCCGAAGGAGGACTAGGACTCTTCCCTGCACTCATCTGGAGCTGACCTGACGCACCCTAGGAAACGACGGCACGGAGCCAACCTCGAGAGGTAACTTTAAATGTCAATTGTTAAACTCGTGCGTTTGCTACATATATAAATTTGGTATGGGAGCGTGTGTTTCGTCATAGCCGATAGAGTGATAGCCATTTCGGGTTAAAAATATTAAAACTTTAACAGAAAAAAACGTTTTTAACAACAGCAGGCTCCGTACCGACACTGGCGCCACCTAGCGGAGAGAAAAATGCTTTCGTTTTGTCTGAAGTCCCCGAAACGGAGTCGGATTAAATTTCATGTAAGACTGATTGTGAGTTGACCCAATGTTAGGTTGGAAGAAAGTTGTCCAATTTTCTCTTTTGTTTGAACATATTTCAGAAAGTAGTCTGAATCCGAAATTCGGACTCTTGAGGTCTGAGAAGTCTGACGCAAGTTCATATGAATTTTGAGAATGAGTACAAATATTAAGACACTTCGAGTCTGAACCAAGCTTTCAGACAAAGCGTTTAAGAACTAAGACAAAAACTCTGATTTATAAGAATTAAGTCTGATTTACAGATTCAGACCGCCAAGTCTGACAAAATTGGTCTGAATTTTCAGAATTTTTTTAACAGTGTAGAGGCCATACCTGGCCATCCTCACTGAGTGGCAGGGAGCGCGTGAGTTTGAATTTAGGATCGGCGCCGGGGCCAGAGTTTGACTATGTCTTAAGAGATGGACGCATAAATCGCAGACTTTGGTCACAGGAAATATATTTTGAGTCGTGATAACACTGTTAAAAAATTTTGCTGAAAATTCAGACTATTTGGCGAGGGGGCAAAAACTCGGGATTTTCGTGTACACATGATTCGGAAAACGCAATGATTGCGCATGGTTTTAATTCATTTCATGGCTGTTTTTGCCTTATTTCGCGACGCACCAGGGTGATGTTGAGCGTGATTGCGTGTGATTGTGTTCGGAAAGAAATGATTTCGGACTGATTTGGCCTGGTTTCGTGTGATTCTGCCTAATTTCGGTCGATTTTAGTGATTTTGGCTGATTTCGGATTGCTTGATTTCGCGTGATTCTCAATGATTCGTGTGTGATTTCGGGGGCCGTGTACACATGATTGCGCGAGTTTTTGCCCCCTCGCTATTTGGACTGAAGTAAATATGCAGAACATCCTACTGAAAATTCAGACTAAATCCTGGTCTGACATTTTCAGACTAACATAAGTCTTAACCTTTCAGACCGGTCTTAGTCTGAAAAATTCAGACAAAATTTTCTCAATTATTAGATTTTTTTTGTCAGAAAGTGGCAGCAGGAAATTTTCCCGTCACTCGGTGAAATGATAACGTTTGCATGCGAGTCTCAAAGGAGAGGCGTACTCCAAGGGACCGTCTAGGTTAAAAATCGAATGTAGGGAAATGTCCCCGAAGTAGGACTCTTCCCTGCACTCATCTGGGGCTGGGCTGACGCACCCAAGGAAACGACGGCACGGAGCCAACCGCGAGAGGTAACTTCAAATGTCAATTGTTAAACTCGCGCGTTTGCTACAGATATAAATTTGGTATGAAAGCGTGTGTTTCATTGTAGCCAATAGAGTGATAGCCATTTCGGGTTGGAAATATTAAAAATTTAACAGAAAAAGACGTTTTTAACAACAGCGGGCTCTTTACCGACACTGGCGCCATCTGGCGGAGAGAAAAATGCTTTCGTTTTGTTTGAAGTCCCCGAAACGGAGTCGGATTAAATTGAATGTAAGACTGATCTTGAGTAAACCCCATATTAGTTTGGAAGAAAGTTGTCCAATTTTCTCTTATGTTTGAACATATTTCAGAAAGTAGTCTGAATCCGAAATTCAGACTCTTGAGGTCTGGAAAGTCTGACGCAAGTTCAACTGAATTTTGAGAATGAGTACAAATATTAAGACACTTCGAGTCTGAACCAAGCTTTCAGACAAAGCGTCCAAGAACTAAGACAAAAACTCGTATTTTTTCAGAATTAAGTCTGATTTACAGATTCAGACCGCTAAGTCTGACAAAATTGGTCTGAATTTTCAGAATTTTTTTAACAGTGAATGAGTCTTGAAAATCAGTCAGCCACCTACGTGTTCGCCTTCCCGAATAAACCCTGACCCACCGCCGTCTCCGCATTCGAATTCTCGCGCGGTTTTGCCACTCAGTGAGCTTCGTGACGTCAGCATTGGATGACCTCTATTCCACTCACTTATGCGTCCTAGATGATCGAAATTGGCTTGCGCTGAAGATAAGATTCTTTATACGGGAACGACCAAATGTTTCATACGGAAACTGCGAGATACGATCTCAATAGAAACCCTGAAGTTGAACATCTCCCCAACTTTTCTTTCGTTATGGAAAACGCCCAAGGAAAACGTGTTTTATAAACGTATCCAAATATGTCTACAAACTTCGGTATGGTTTTAATAATGGCTTTCCTTGGGCTATAGGGATGATTGTAGGCCAAAGTAAAAACCATTATTTTATCTTCAAAATGCCGCAAACCGATCGCCGAAACGTTAAGAACTTCCGGAAAAAATGTCGCGCATTTTTGGCTGAGCGATAGCGAAGCCTGTTACTCCAGTGCGGTTGAAAAGTTTTGTCTGTCTGTCTGTGTGTCTGTCTGTCTGTCTGTGTGTGTACACTACTCCTCCTGAACGGCTCGGCCGATCTGGCTGAGATTTCGCAGGGTTATTAGGTATGTTCTTGGATCGGCACACGCGAAATTTCACCATCCTAGCTCAAGTGGTTCAGTTTTTATAGCCGAAAAACACCTAAAAAACGGCGAAAAATCGAGTTTTCTGTCGGTAGACCTCTCCTGTCTGGATGAAAGGGGGGTCTGGGGGACGGAGCCCCCCAGCCACGGCAAGTTAAAAAGTTACAAGGGTCAAGATCGTGGAATTTGTAGATGAAGCACCTCTATCTAGAATGAAGGGGGGTCTGGGGGCCCCCAGCATGCAACGGTTTTGAAGTAACTGATGATGGACAAGCATTGTCTGCCGAAGGCAGCCTAGCGCCGCAGGCCAAGGTAGGTACGCAAGGCGCGAATTGGAGAAACAGGCAGCGACACATCGCGAAGCCTGTTACGACAAGACGCGGTCTGGCGTAAACCTACCTTGTATATATTTTGCTGGCTTTTGTTGCACTACCTATAACTCCCTTACAACTGAAGACAAAACAGAATATTTTTTTTTTGAAAATGTTGTAAAAATTCTGTTCTTTCATTTGGTTTTTACCGTTTGTCTCTAAGAGGTATATTTAAGAAAATCATCGCCATCGAAAGAGGGGGGGAAAAAACCTCAAAAAGGGTACACGGACGAGACTGCCCCCTTAAGGTAAAAAAGTGATGAAGTCAGAAAGGTTCACTCAGAATAACCCCCTGACATGAGTCACCCTTCAAAATTGTCATGACCGACTCGAAACCTTATTGCAAATCAGCGGGTGGAAACTCGATTGCAAAAAAAGTCATTCAAAGGTTTTTATAATGTTAACTATGAAAACGAGGATGGAAAGTGGAACGTCTCAAACACCCACCGACCTGCTGAGAAGACGCTGACAACAGCTGATCACTGTGACTTTCAGCAAAGCCCACGGATCTTCCGTCGAGAAGGCGCTGTGCGAAAGTGGCGTGCCATAGTGCGTATCGCGGCTCAAATACCACGCCATGGCTTACCAAAGAGTGCGCTGAGGTTACGCCGATTATCGCTTATCTTGTTACCGGGCCCATCACGGTGTAGGAGAGAGTGACTCGGCGGCACGGGTTCGCCTGGGCTGGTCCCAGAATGCGAGACGGAATGGGCACCCACGTGCCACCGAGGCTACATTCTTAATATGGGGTGCCCAGAAACTGGGCGCCTTTGTCGCCCGCCCCACTTTTTAGGGTGCCAAATGTCGCCCAGTTCCTGGGCACCTTTGTCACCCAGTCTCGGGGTGGACAAACCATTAAGAAACCTGCCTTCACCCATGGCTCAGCAGCGACTGAGGTGCCGAAGGTGCCCAGAATGTAGGCACCTTAGTCGCCCAGGATCTCGACACCTGAGCATGCTCTACCGTGAGAGAGGGCCGGTTACTGTATGATTTGTCCACCCGGAGACTGGGTGACAAAGGTGCCCAGAAACTGGGCGACATTTGGCACCCTAAAAAGTGGGGCGGGCGACAAAGGCGCCCAGTTGCTGGGCACCCCATATTTAGAGTGTAGCTACGAAGCTCGGGACGCATGGTGGATTTAGGCAAGTGTCAGCACTTCGGCTCTCCCGACTGGCCCGAGAACCTGTCCCCGCTGCTTTACTCCCACATCGACTGAGAATCTTTCAACATTTTTCTTTTTGAGGGGAAAGATAAAAGAAATCAGTGGTGCTTTGTAGAACTGCGCTTACTTATGCTCGCTTACGTTAAAGATAAGGGGTCAAACCATCATGGTCCAAAACGTACTTGCTCAGATCCGGCTCCCAAATTTTTCTATCATAGCCTACCACTCAAGGACCACTCCCATAATTTTCTTTTTTTTAAAAAAAAAAAAAAAGGTCAGAACTTTGACCGTGGTGATTTTTTGAAATTTCAAAGGATAAGTACACGAGATATTCAAAGGACATCGATACACTCTTAGATCTATATGGACTTTTTTCTCTCTCTTGAGTATAACGTTTTCTTTAACAAACATAAAATGTACTATTTTCTCTTTAACTATGCTTCATTTTAAAGATAATATTGTCAATAGATCATGTAAAAATTGAAAAGTACATTGCAAATGATAAAAAGTCAGGTTGAATGGACTAAATACAATAAACAATGAACAAAATAGTGCATACCTACAGAGAAAATAGTGCATGTTGCGTTTGCACAAAGAACTTTCTGGCAAGAGATAAAAAGTCAATACGAGACTGAGAGTGTATGGTCGAAACGAGCGTTTTTCATCATGTGAGAAGAGCAGCTGCTCTTACTTACTTACTTCAGCGCTCAGCGCAGTGTGTAGTGCCGTTTTGCCTTCGGCTTTCCGTGCTCAAAAATTGCCTCTGGGTGCCGTGCAGTCACCACTCTGAAGCATCCGAAATCCGCGGCAAGCAGGCTGTGAAAGTGGCGTAGCCCTATGCTGATATAGCGTCTTCCAAACAAAAGGGACGGGTGATGAGCGAGTGGGTGGCGTTTTGAAAATTTGCCATTCCTCTTTCATCCTTGACCCCAAAGTATTTACATCGTGCCGAAAAGGCTTCCAAAAAGTGTGCATCTGGTTCCAACATATGTTTAGCCATCTCAGGCAATTATTAGAGGAACTGTGAACAATTAAAGTTTTCGGCCATTTCATCACTAGGCTTAGGTGGTTTTGTGCACAGAATTTTTTTTCCTTCTATTTCTTTGTGATCAGAACCTCTTCTCTACAAACTGTAGTGTGTACACAGTATGAATCTACAGATGAGTTTGGATGAGTTAGGTATGCATCTGTAGGTGTATAGTCAGCCAAGTATGCATCTGTAGGTAGACGCATACTGAGTACACACTTCAGTTAGTAGAGTTGACACGCCTTGCATGAAGAACAAATTTCTTGTTATGACCAATCTCGGTACAATTTTACAACATCTTTTGCCATTATCTGTAAAATGAAAGTATATCATGAGTAATCTTCTATTTTGTTCTTCTCAATAATGGAAATACTATTGTTATCAGTAGGAAAGAATGTATTGAGGCACCGTGATAAAAAGGCTGACTGGTGTTTATTCCTAAAAAAGTGCACAAAGGTACGTTAACAACACTGAAATTGATTTATTAATTACTTGTCGATGCCCGGCAACGACGATTGTCGTTATTTGCTAGCGGCCACTTTCATGGTTAACTGTCTAAAAGAGCCCTCGAACCGGCTGCCGACCCAGGTTATGTTTCAATGCCCTGTTTCTTTCTCACAGATTATTATTGTCTGATCGTCACTCATTTTAAATGCCGCGAAAGCCCAAGGCCCGTCGCTTCAAACATATGAAATCTCACAATTTTTTTTTTTTTTTAGAGGATCCACTGGCTTCGGTTTGTGCTTGTTTGCTGAGTGACTTGAGGTGTTTGACATTGCTGAGATTTGTGTATTTACGTTCATCTTTGTTGTACCAGGATGAGAACAGCCAGTCTTCCATGGAAACTGATTCTTCCAGTGCATCTGTAGCATGTAACAGTTCTCTCGCAACTGAAGCATCTGCATCGAGTGTAGATGTTACTTGTAACACTTCTCAGGTAAGACCCAACAGTGACAAGCAATGTGAGTGTACTTAAAATTTCAAGCGTCTAAGGTCTGTCTTATATCTGTTGTAGGAAAATGTCTCTGCAGCAAGCCTGCCTTCGTTGGAACACAGCTATGCCAAGACCCCCATGGATTGCACTGTAATTGAGGATCCAGTTGCGCCTATTCCAAGTGCAGTTCCTATTGAGGTTCTACTGGAAGTGCGAGGACGTTTATTGGCAATTCTTCCAAAATACTGTGTTCCCATAGTCACCGATCAAAGTCAGGTGTCCGTAGTGCTCATATCAAGGCAAGCACAACTCAGTGTTCAAAGAAGTCTTCAGTTTCATGTAAATGGTGATGTGACTTTAAATGTGCACTGCAAGACAATACCCAGTGAAGCGTACACTGTTAAAAATAATCGTAAATTTACGACATTTTGTAGAACAATTATGTTGTTTTTAAACGACTTATTTTGTTACGACATAAGTCGTAAATATACGACTTGAGTCGTAAATGTACGACGTATTTTTCGCTAATTTTGATAGCGACACGTTTCGTTTTCAAACGAATTAAGTCGTAAAATTACCATTACAACTTAATCGTACGTTTACGAACAATCGTAAATTATCTTTGGAACATGTCGTGCAGTTATGACTTCAGTCATACATTTACGACTCTTGTCGTAAATTTGTGTTATGAATCGTAAATGAACGACGCAAATCGTAAATAAGCGAGCAAAATTGTAACTTTTCGCCAACTTTTCGGGGATTTCAGGTGTCAAAATATGTAATCGCGATTACGACATTGTCGTAGAGAAATGATTTTTTAGTCGTTCAGTTACGACGGAGTAGTTTAAGAACGATTTCCGTCGCTATGAAAATTAGCGACTTTTTTGTCGCTAATTTACGACAGAATTTCTAACAGTGTACGTGAAAAATGTTCAGCCTCCAATCCCTCTTGAAGATCTTGATGGTGTTGGGTACTTTGCGGACCGAGCTTTGGCCATTGTAAATGCTGTGCGTTTAATGGAAGTATGTGCCGGGGTTGACAATGATGACTATTCCCCTGCATGGGAAAGTTCTTCTCACATTGGCGTCATAGATGGAAACCCTTATAAAGAATGTACGTGTACTACCCTTCTTTTGGTGATTATTTTTGTATCGCCGAAATGTAGCGACATGTGTCACTCTTTGAATTTCAATGCAGACTGGCTGAAGGGAAATCGGGTTGTCAATATGCATCGTTCGCTACGCTTGCCTAGATCTTTTTACTTCAATGATGAGGGCACAGCGAATAGCAGCACGTCCCAATCACAATTGAAGGCGTCGTGGAAGCGTCCTCATTACGCGCCCCGCGCCAGGTCGGCGTTCAACTTGCGGATCATTGGACCGTAGAGGCCCTCCGAGTCGACCGGCACGAAAGGACTGACGCCGTTGTACTTCTCGAGAACCTGGTAGGACGCGCGGGCAGGCGGGGCCAGGGCGTTCCAGGTGTCGAGGACGTCCTGAAAAACGACACACCGGGTTAAGGTAAATAAAACAAATTGATACGGTGAAAGTTCAAAGTTGGTCTCGTTGAAGAACAACAATAGTTCCTTCAATGTGGAAAGTATACTGTAAGAATTAGTTGTTTTATGTTCCGGCAAATCGGGCACCCTAAATCGAAATTCATTATCAAATTTCCACTTTATTTGCAGAAACAGCGTTTGATCAGGTCCTTTTCAGGCATCAGGAAGAACTATCGTCTTTTCTGAAATGCCCACTTTAAGTATGGGGTCTCCTTACACCTTTTTCCAAACCTTTATCCCGAGGGGGTAAACACTTCAAGAAATCGTGTACAGACTACTCGGTATTACGCTGTATTACGGAGGTATTACACGTGTATTACGGCCTTAAAATGCAAAAATTTGGCACATTTGACCCGAAAAAGGTATTACGACCACGTGTATTACGCGTAATAAACGGTTTTTGTGTACAGGGTATTACGCGAGTGGTTACCCCCTCGCTTTATCCTCATAGTAACAACGCTATTGAGATTTTAACAACTCGGTTGAAAAAGAAAATAGAATCGTCAAGGAGTCGAAATTTGTTTTAGAGCCTTATCAAACCGATTGTGAGGAAAGAACTGATTTAACAAAACTCCGACTGGACGTCGCATTCCGATAATATACGGGAAATGTGAAAATTTATTCCGTTTTAGGTTGCCGACCTTTGTTAATTTCTTTGGTCCGAGAGTGAACTTTTTTCTTCGTGTGAGTTTCTAGACAATGGTGCACGGTGATCTTCCAGCCCGTCAATCTCAATTTTTCGGGCAGTTGTTATTGCATCGGGTATAGATTTTGCATCGACCTCGATCCAATCATTTGCGAAAAGGCCAGGGGAAACCATTGTAGGTTGGCCACCTTGGTGACCCTGTTTCACGTTTCAGTCTCACTTAAAAAAGCCTACGAAGCATTTGCTTCATAACCACGAAGAAAAAGAAGGCATTGTAGAATTGCTTCGTATTATGAATAAATGCTTTGTATTACAAAGGATTTCGCTTCGTAATACGAAGCATATCTTCGTAGATCTTACAATGCCTTCATTTTCTTCGTATTACAAAGCGATGTTTCATATACTTTTTTCTGTGCTCACCTGTGGAACGGTGACACTGTCGCTGCCGAGGGCGTAGAAGTTGCATGGCACAGTGGTTGCAGCTATGTTCACGTCTTCAGGGGTGGTTCGGTTGTATCGCCTCAAGTTCTCAGCCGGGCCGTAGTCGTAATACTTCATGTACTTAACTGGACCGAACAATCACACAATGAGCCGCGAGTGCTGTGCCACAGAAGGCTGTGAGCACGCACAAGGAAACTGCTGTACTTACTCCTGCCGACTTGTTGAAGGAAATAGTTGAAACCAGTTATCGACGTGCTGTCCAGTAAGTTCGAAAAAGAATAAGGGAAGTATGGCTGAAAATAAAATTTGAATAATTCAAGCAAAAAGAAGAACTAAGTGCTTTTTCTTTTCAAGATGGTCGCAAATTAACACAGAGAGCTTGAGAGTGTACTCAGTTCACGAGTGCTTTGTAGGTGCGGACTTTGAGGTGTGAACTGATTTAAGCACGCACTTGGAAGTGCATGCAAACTACACTTTTCTTTTCAGGAGCGTGTACTTGACCAAGCATGCGTTTGTAAGTGTGTACTTGCAAGCACGCATTTGTAAGTGTGTACTAAGTAGACAGTTAGGTTTGTAGTGTCCTATACTTAACCAAACGTGCACTTTCTGAAGTCTACTCTACGCACTCACGCCCCTTGTTTTCGTCAACTCACGTAATTTATCTCCCTGGTGTTCCCTCCGAGGATCTGGAAAACGTAGTAGCACGTTTTGGGGGAGATGCGACCACACAAGTTGTACAGCACCGAGTGTATCGCTGGGTTCATGAAGGCGAGTTCGTTGTGCAGAGTCAGTGCTCCGGCAGCCTGATGAAAAATTTTAACACAAAGGACTCGGTGAGTCGGTTTCCAAAGTTTCAATTTTGGGGGATTTTATGAATCCTACTTTCAAGCTTCACCAGGTTTCCGCCTGACACACTTGGAAACCACCTGGCACTATTTACCGTGAGGCCGTCGCGAAGAACGGACATTGTGTCGAAAACCGCAGAGTTAAGACGTCCGAGGTAGCCGATGGGAGCGAGCAGGTAGGTGCCTGCCAGGAACCTCTGGTATCGCTGGCCGTGCACGTGGTTCATGAAGAGCAGGGCGGTGCCGGACTGGTCCACGCCGAAGTAGCGCATTCTGGTGCTGTTCGTCTTCCGGTAGACGAATTCTATCTGGGCCGGCAGGTCGTAGACGCCCCAGTGGTACGCACTGCAGAGGATAGAACATTTAGACTTTTAGAACTGATAACTCACGTGAGGAGAGTCAGGGAGAAACAAAAAGCTACTGCCAACCTAAATAATTCAGAAACATATAAGTTTTAGAACCGTAGGATCTGGGTTTATTTCAGGAAGAACCATGTTTCTTTATAACAAAATGATTTGGCACTTCTTTAAAGACACAGTAACGTCAGGCACGTGCCACACATACAGACACACACGTCATGGTATCACTGAAAATGAACGAGTCATGATCAGGACTAAAATTTGGGGTGAGGAATTCTTTATCACCCAAATTTAGGTGATAATATTATCAGTATTTACTATGAAGCCGTACATGTAGCTGATACACCCTTCCCCGTCCAAATTTGGGTAAGGACGCCTTCCTTACCCAAATTTGGGTAATAAAGCACACCTCGCCCCAAATTAGGTATTGATCAAAAACATCACTGTTAAAAAAAATCTGAAAATTCAGACCAATTTTGTCAGACTTAGCGGTCTGAATCTGTGAATCAGAATCAGACTTCATTCTTAAAAATTTAGAGTTTTTGTCTTAGTTCTTAAACGCTTTGTCTGAAAGCTTGGTTCAGACTCGAAGTGTCTTAATGTTTCTACTCATTCTCAAAATTCATATGAACTTGCGTCAGACTTCCCAGACCTCAAGAGTCTGAATTTCGGATTCAGACTACTTTCTGAAATATGTTCAAACAAAAGAGAAAATTGGACAACTTTCTTCCAACCTAACATTGGGTCAACTCACAATCAGTCTTACATTCAATTTAATCCGACTCCGTTTCGGGGACTTAAGACAAAACGAAAGCATTTTTCTCTCCGCTAGGTGGCGCCAGTGTCGGTAAAGAGCCTGCTGTTGTTAAAAACGTTTTCTTCTGTTAAATTTTTAATATTTTTAACCCGAAATGGCTATCACTCTATCGGCTATGACGAAACACACGCTCCCATACCAAATTTATAACTGTGGCAAACGCACGAGTTTAACAATTGACATTGTTACCTCTCGCGGTTGGCTCCGTGCCGTCGTTTCCTAGGGTGCGTCATGCCAGCTCCAGATGAGTGCAGGGAAGAGTTCCTACTTCGGGGACATTTCCTTACACTCATTTGATTTACCTAGACGGTCCCTTGGAGTACGTCGATCCTTTGAGGATCGGATGCAAACATTATCATTGTAACGAGTTACGGGAAAATTTCCTGCTGCCACTTTCAGACAAAAAAAGTCTAGTGATTGAGACAATTTTGTCTGAATTTTTCAGACTACGACCTGCCTGGAAAGTTAAGACTTGTGTAAGTCTGAAAATTTCAGACCAGGATTTAGTCTAAATTTTCAGTACGATGTTCTGCATATTTACTTCAGTCAAAAAAGTCTGAATTTTCAGCAAAAATTTTTAACAGTGATTTCTTTCGCACATAAGCCTATGTGATGATCACTCTATTACGGAGCACTTACTAGAAGTCCCAGAATTCAGAGCTTGTGTCACTGAGACTTGTGTGTCCACGTCCAAAAGTGTAACCTCGGAAAGTGAACAGCCAAACGTCGTTGCATTCTCGCGCAAGACGGTACACTGAAAGCAGAATGCCGAACGCAGAGTTGCATGTGAGAAATACCAACAAACTGCAACACCCAAGTGCCCGCAAGCCCAATACGTATCAATCGAAGAGGTAACGGATTTGATTCACACATTTTGGTCGCAAAGAAAATGCATTTGCTCGACAAGATACACTAAAATTAGTAAACTAAGTACCCTGCGTTTTGTTTTTGTACAAAATATGTGGGGGTCGCTTTCCAGACCAAAAGGTACATATGTTCAAAGTTTTTTGTTTTTCGAGTTTTTAGCTTAATTGGTTCAAACAAGGTGGTTGGAAATAAATAGGCCCGCACGGCCTGATTCTTCTCCTATAGTATTGTCCTTTTCCATGCATAACATGTTTGCAGTATTTACTGAACACATTGTGCGGCTCAATTTACAGAGTAGCCACACGACACGACTAACCCAGGCTGTTTTCCTTGATGTAGATAAAGGACGCTGCATTGGAAAGGATCCCTGGCGGAATAACAACAACAGAACGATACGAGGCGCACGTTCCGTTTCGAACTCGGAACACTCCAAGGATGTAGCCGTCCGAAGTCGTCACGTTGTAAGCCTCTCCGACGAAGCCGAATTTCGGCGCTTCCTGGTCCTGGAACAAGGCATCCAAAGCACGAGCGTGTCTATAAAATGTTTGGGTAGAGACTAAAACTTACGAGCTGAGACACGAGTTTGTGGGGGAATTGGTTGATTCACCGTCAGTCCAGCTTACCGGCCGGAGGTATGGAGGCACAGGCAGCG